CCCCAGCCGGTAAAAAGAAAGGTGGGAAGGGAGGTGGAGGTAGTGATGCTCCAAAAGCCTCGAGCCTGAGCAAAGAGATCAAATCCACGACCGTGTTTGGTGCTAATATCCTCAAAGATGGAGCTGACCCAAAGATCTTGCCCGATTCCGAGTACCCTGATTGGCTCTGGCATCTTCTCGATAAGCATCCTGCCCTCAGTGAACTGAGAAGGAAGGACGTCGAAACCCTTCCTTACGATGATCTCAAACGGTTTGTCAAACTCGACACCCGAGCCAGAATCAAGGAGAACAATTCTGTGAGGGCCAAGAACTGAGATTCAATCTTCTGTAAGATGCTTCTGTTCTCTTCTTCCTCTATTATACTCTGCACTCACTTTCTTTTCAGTGTTGTTGATTACATGCCATTGATTTTATATAAACCTGTGATGTTGATTACATGCCATTGGCTCTAGATTAAACCAATATCTTTGCTATGCAATTGGCCCAACTCCACCCAGCCACGAGTGGCATTAGTCTCTGCTCCTACCAGAGCAGTTAGTTGCTCTAGTACACAATGCATTAGTTTATTGCTTTATGGATAGAGAGGACACAGGTTGGTCTTGATCTTATCCATCTTCTTCTGATGGGAAACCTGTTCTTTTTTTTAAATTATCAGTATCATTCATTGCATTAACAAGGACATGGGCCCTAAAAAGTTTGATATTTCAATTTTCATCAGAGTAATCTGTGGGTGGAAACCAACTCTTCTTGTCTCAACTTTTTTTTTTTGGGGGATGTGGGGTTCAAAATTCACATCCTTTCTTCAAAGGGTATAGTAAAGTTGCATGATTTTTTTGCCCTTTTGATCTTTCCATTATTGCTCTTCTTTTCCTCTGCTTGTTACTTGGGGTTTGATGTTTGAGTAGAAATATTCACATACCAAGCTCAGTTATCGTGTTCGGTTCGGTCTCTGTCGTTATGTCTAAACCGAACCGGACCGTGTCTTGTTGGTTTGGTTCCGGTCTGGTTTTGTTGACAAGTGAGTTTCCGCCACTTGTTGCTCATGTTTAGGTGCATGTCCATGACAAATGCAAAAAAGTGAAAGCGAGACATGACGTGCTTTATAGCATTGCCTTAGGTATCACAAAAGGGCTGCCTTTTTCCTCTCACATGCATCGTCCTTCTCAGCTTTATTTGGCTTTCCAATATGATTTCTTGGTTATTGTGTCGGTCTATTATATATTCAGTCATCTCTAATTTACATGTTGATGGTAGGATTATCATACACGAGGTAGGATTAATTAAATACTTTGGATTGCTAATAATATCACCTAGCAGATGCGTTTGCTTGTTGTTTGCCTTATATTATGGGCCATGGTGCGTTTTAATAGCAACTTTGGTTGGCGATGCCACTTTAAACAATGTTTGGTTGGTGGGTTTGGTTTCGTGTCACATTTATCAATTCCTTATCTGGCAAAATTTCAAAAAAACATGCAAATAACCTAATTAGTAATTAGATATAAAATTTTATCCAATATCAATAACTCAAGGCTAAAAATATTAAATCTCGACTGAGTCATCCGACTTTTATTATGTGTTTACTATTATAGGCACAGTTTCTTTTTAATTCCATTTTGCTTTATTTATACTCAATTTCCTTTTTCTTTTTGGTCGTTGGCTAATTTCCCTGTGATTAAGTCTCTAATTTTATAAACCTTTTGAAATCTTGTACGTTTCTGGTAGATACACGAGATTGTAATATCGAGATCGAATATATATATATATATATATATATATATATGAATATATATATATGATTTAAGTAGGGCAGATGCGGATTTAATATTCGTGATACTATTGCTTTTCAAAATCAATTGTTTATTATCAAATAAATAGCAATCAGTGGAATATTACAAAAAAAAGATTATGGCAGCATAATAATACATTACATGTCAGTGTCAACTCCAAATATACTTTATTGATCTCAATTATATGATTTCTTTTGAAGATTGTACATATAATATAAATCCATTCCATGTGGTTGGAAAAGGCGACCGACCTTTCTCCATGTGTCGCCATCATTATAATCACCCCTTTTAATGTCCACGCACCCATTCTTCGTACATTTAATCAAATATTTTCTTCGGTTAACATATCAATTTTTTTTTTTTTATAAAAAAGATATCATCGACTCATAAAAGACACCGGATTTCTTTCCTTAAGGCCCGTATTTAGAAACACACCCATTTTCTAACCGTAAAAAAAAAGTATTTTATCCATTAATGTGCAAAATCTTATCACATAAATTAATATTTTTTATATATATGCACACACATATATATTCGACTTTCTTTGCCGTATTTTACTCGATTCATCACACTCCCGTCCTTTCCCTTTATGCTCATATCCAAACAGACCCTTTCACTTCTTCCTCTTCTCCTTCTCAGTTGTCTTTGTTCCTTGAACATTAAGGAACATCTCGTTACCTGTCTCTGGCTTTGCCTTTGTTCTGTCTTTCCGACACTGCCGACGGCGACGGTTCCGATGTCTCCTCCGGCGTACTTTCCTCTCCGGTGGGAGAGCACCGGAGACCAGTGGTGGTACGCTTCTCCGATCGACTACGCCGCCGCCAACGGCCACTACGACTTGGTCCGGGAGCTTCTCCGAATCGACTCCAACAACCTCATGAAGCTCACCTCCCTCCGTCGAATCCGCCGCCTCGAGACCGTCTGGGACGATGAATCGCAGTTCCACGACGTCTCCGCTTGCAGGTCACGCATCGCTAGGAAGCTCTTCTCCGCCTGCGACGTCGATGCCAAAGCCAACACCCTAATTAGGGCCGGGTACGGTGGCTGGCTCATGTACACCGCCGCCTCCGCCGGCGATCTTGGATTCGTGCGAGATCTGCTCGCTAGAAATCCTCTGCTGGTCTTTGGAGAAGGAGAGTACGGCGTGACGGATATGCTCTACGCCGCCGCCAGGAGCAGAAACGACGACGTTTTCCGTCTGATTTTCGATTTCGCGGTTTCTCCGAGGTTCGTGGCTGCCGGAAATGGAGGTCTGGAGCAGCAAATTGGAGAGATTCCGGCGGGTTATAGATGGGAGATGAAGAACAGAGCGGCACATGCTGCATCGAGAGGAGGTAATTTGACACTTCTGAAGGAGATTCTGAGTGAGTGCAGTGTTGAAGATGTGTTAAGTTTCAGAGACAAACAGGGCTCCACCATTCTCCACGCCGCCGCCGGAAAAGGGATGACCCACGTAAGTCTCCGACCACTAAATTTGGTTCCTGAATCGGAAAATATAATCAGTAATGGTGAAAATGTGAATTCAGGTGGTGAAACAACTAGTGGCATCGTTCGATATAATCAACGTTGTGGACAACCAAGGCAACACGGCCTTGCACGTGGCTGCGTACCGTGGCCACGCTGCCGTGGTCGAGGCCCTGATCGCCAATACGACGTCTTTGATCACAGCAAGAAACAATGGCGGTGACACTTTCCTCCACGCCGGAATCTCTGGCTTTCAGACGCCAGCTTTCGAGAGGCTCGACCGGCACAGGGAGCTCATGAACCGCCTTATCACCTCTGTCTCCAAATCATTAGGCCACGTCGAGGATATCGTGAATTCTCAGAACAACGAAGGCAGAACCGCCCTTCACTTGGCGATCTCCGGCAATGTCCCGCTTGAGTTCGTGGAGATGCTGATGTCGGTGAAGTCCATTGATGTTAACATCCGAGACACGGCTGGTATGACGCCTCTCGATCTGCTCAGACAGAAGCCGCACTCTCCATCTTCTGATCTTTTGATCAGACGGCTGGTGTCGGCCGGCGGGATCTTCAGCTCCCGAGATCATAACACGAGAAGGGTCATCGCCTCTCATCTCAAGGATCAAGGAAGCATTTACAGCCCTGGAACTCGTTTCAGAACGCCCGACACCGAGATTTTCCTCTTCTCCGGTCTTGAAGCTGTTCCCGACATAACTGTTGTCCCTGATAACGTCAAAACCAGTTCGTGCTCGATTGACATGAGTCAGCTGAACGTGACAGATGAGAATCACGTCAAGAAACCCAGAAACTCATCCGTTAATTCCGCAGCTGAGAGATTGAAGAGTGTTTTCCACTGGCCGCGAACGAGAAAGCCTGGAAATCTGAAGGACGGAAGCGATATTGCTGGGAAAGAATCATCGTTTCTTGGACAGCAAGAAACCCATGTTCCTCTGAGACAGAGATTCTCAAAACCGTCTCCAGCTGTGCCCAATGTCAACAACAATAAGAGGGCATTGTCCGTGAGAAGCAACCAGTCGAGCCCGAGGGCTAAGAAGAAGGTGAGGTCTCGTTCAAGTTCTTTCTCGAGACTGTCGATCCATTCTTCTTCGTGTTCGTCGACTTCGAGCTTTGTGGATCTCAAACAGAAGGGAGTGTTGATCGACCCTGGGCCGTCCAGCTCGAACCATATGATGGAACAACAACGGGCGAAAGGTAATTTGACGGAGAAACAAGGTTCAATCAGGAGAAGACTAAAGGGCAACTACTTCTGCTTTGGTGCTTCTGGTTTGTCTGTGAAGACGCCGAGTACTCGAACCAGAGAGAATCCATCGGTTATCTCAGTGAACTAACTGGTACAACGTTAATAACCATTCCAAACCAAACCGGGGAGGGAGAGAATTCAGTGCAAAATCCTCGCCAAGATTGTTACCTATTATGTTTCCTTCTACCTTTAAACTACGTGTCGCTTAGTTCTTAGCCCCCAAACCTCCTTGTCGTTTCAGTGATTGATGTAACATAAATAATTTTTGTGCTCTTATAAATCGCCCCCTACTTTCGTTGTTCTGACCACTTTCCGTACTTTAAAAAATTAGTCTAGGGCTTTAGATTTCATTTCCGACCAAGTCTCATTCCCATTCATTGTGGATTTCAGTTAAAGTCGGATACAGGACCAACGACAACAAAATCTTGATGAAAGCTTTCATAATAAATAATAATGAAAATCAAGAACGGATTGCTCCCTTCTTTTTTCTACGTTTTAATTCTCCAATTTCTTCTTACGCTCCTTGAGACGTTCGACGCCAGCCTTCTTTCGCTTCTGACTTATCTGAAATTTCTCACAGAAACACGTTTTTTTTAAAAACACCCATCGTGTATATGTATCTTTAAAGAGATGAAAGGAGTAGAACCAAAAGGGATACCTTCATGGCTTCATAGAGCTTCCTCTTCTTACGTGACATCAAGACAGTACCCATGTCCGCATTCTCATCAGTCGTTTGATTGGTTGCATCATCAAGACGTGGCTCTTCTCTATCATCATTATCATCATCATCCATGTCAACCTTTTCGTCGTCTGTCCTAACCCCCTTTAGTTCCATTCTTAGTTCGTCATGGTATTGCTTCTCCAGGACTATCATCTACATACATCGCTCATATCCACTCACCCAATCCATACAGAGCAAATGATAACTTCTATTATATATATATAACTTTTTTTCTAAAAAAAGAAAAGCTTTCATACCTTCTTCTTCCTCTCATCAGCTTCAGCTGCCTCAGCACGGCTCATAAAACCTTCGGCCAATAAGCTCTGTGGATCTTCCAGATCATCTTTCCCAACACCAGGCAACGGCACAACTTCACTTCTGGCCGCAGCTTGTAGCCTTTTGATGGTTTCAGCATAATCAGGAACATATCCCTCTGCTTCATTGTCAACAAACGGTGACAAGTGAGGAGGAGGAATCCTGCTCAGAGGCAACCAAAAACACCATCATTGGGCCACATTCTCTGCTTGCATCATCACTCACTCAAAAACATTGATACTACTTTTTCTTTGATCAAATGTAGAACAGCATTATGATTTATGACAGATCAAATTGGACAATGAGTTCAGTACCTTCCAACCATATAGTTGTCAGTTGGCAAGATTATCCTAGCGTTCACACAGTCATAAATCCACTGTGGCTGGATGTATTCCCTTGACAGGTACAAATGACCTTGGCTTGCCTTATCAACAATCTGCAATTTACCAAGAAAAAGGAAAAGACGTCCATCTACCTTTTCGTCTAGATAGAAAAAATGGGGAAATGGTGAGAAGCTATACACAAGGCTGACCTGATGTGTGATAGTTTCATTATCTTCCTTGAAAGGTGCAACTTCACCTTCCCAAGACACGACACCTCCAAAAGACGGAATGACAAAAAGCAACGACTCTCTCGGAACCTATAAAAGAGAACAAAAAAATAAAAATTGCAATAGAATGATTCCGAATCTTTTGGAACATATATTCCTACTGATTTAATTGGTGTTTGGCATGTGAATGAGCTCCAAAAAACGCATTAGAGGAAACTAATTCGTTCATGGACCTACAAGAAAAAATTATGAGGAATAAAATCAGCTGTCATACCTCGCGACTCAGGAAGAATTTCATACCCTTGAAAAGCTTCTTGCACGCCTTTTTTTCTTCATCATCTTCATCCTCTTCATTCACAACGAGGTGCATCAATGCTCCAGGCTCATTAGAGGGCAGCTGGTGCTGTAATTGTGAAAGTCGGAGATCAGACTCCTCATTGGCATTTGACTCTGAGTTAGATGAACCAATGGCTTGAGGTTTCACGGCCAAACCCTTCGAGCTAGCATCTATATATCTTGACAATGCATAGAGATCTGTAAAGTTAAACAAATACCCCCTGTTATCTTCTATATATAAAACATTTCCGCATAATAAAGCCAGATTCAATCCTATAGAAATGAAATAACAAACCAGAATAAGTTCCAAGGAACTACTCTTAAGTTAGATCATCTTCAGAAAGAATTATGTCTTCTTTAAAGGTAGAAGACATACCTGCTGCTAAAGCCTCCAGTCGAGGATCAAGGATAGGTGGATACTTTACATTTACAGAATGATACAGCTTTAAGTTAACAAAGGCAAGTAGAGTCTGCATCGATATCAAAATTCAAAAGTAAAAGATTGGCAGTTAGAAAGCAATGATAGGAACCTGGCTAGCTTATTGAACCATGATAAAATTAGGAGCTCGGACAGAAAGAGAAAATTCTGAGAGGTCAATGGATTCTTACCTCATAAAATTCCAAAAATGTCAGCATGACTCCAAAATCAACATCATTTGTCATAACTTGCTGTAACGCGTGAGGTGTCAACCAAGTAATCTTTTGCCCTTCTACCTCAGCCTATAAAAATAATTAGCCAAGTATTCTAAATTTCTAAGAGTGCCTATGATGTTGGTCCCATCATAACTTTTAAAGATAACCAGCATGCAATATTACCTGATAATATATGCCTTTAACAGACACGAACACCTTCCTTAACGAATGGGTACGAGATATGTAAGCTTGCCATTCATGACTCAATCTGATTCATAAAGCAGAAGACCAAAATTCAAGGATATGAGATCGACAGAAACTAGTCAGCAACAAAAGAATGATAGTTATCACTACTTTAGTTTAAAAAGAAAGCATAACAGATAAGACTCTGACCTTCTACAATTATGCACAAGTTTAACTTCGAGATTTTCCCTGTCTGTGGCAGGTAACACCGCAAAAAGATGAACCATGGTGAGACAGTCATCCAAGTCTCTAAGTGCATCGACAAAGGTTGGATACCTACAAAATTCAACAACATGAACAGATTTACAGACCGGCAACCATGAGAGTTCAAGCACAAGTACATATACAAATCCCTGCAGCTAACCTTTCCCGAATCAATCTATCGAGTTTGTATGATGGTTGACGCGTAAGCAGAAGACGTGCTAGCTCCTCATTTTTCTTAGCCTTGGCTTTGGTTACCTTTTTTCGGTATGTCTTTATTTCACGGAACTTCTCTAGCAATGGCTCATGCTGAAGGAAAGCGATATCCTTAACATGATAGTACGTGTGATGGTTTCCCTTAATTTTCTTCTTTGGTTCTCGGGGAAACACACCCTTAATGATGCACAGTCTCCTGCAATTCCAGAAAACACAAACAAAACTACACTGTCATAACACCCTACAATAACAGGGCCTTAAAATTACGGAATCCACATCATCTATGACCAACCAAATCCAATCGGAATTAATCTGAAAATATTTCACAGGATTCAAAGAAACACAATAAAAATGGACAGAAACCTAAATAGCCTGTTAAACAATTTTTCAGAAACATCAAACCCTAGAAATAGGATAGGTGGAGTAAACGAAAGAGATGGCAGAAAGGAGAGGTTGTTAGAAGGAAAGAAAGAGAACCTGAACAGGTTCAGATTGACCTGAAGATGCTTCAGGGCTTGCGTTCTGGTCATATACTTGGCAGCATTTCCTTCCTTCTTCTTTCCCTGCAAAAGAAGGAAAAGTATTACAAAGAAAATTTTTACCGAGAAAGTGGCAAAAAACGAAAATCCAAAACCAATCAGCCAAAACTTTCGGACAATTCATTAATCTCCCGAACCATAGAACGAGATGAGTATAAAGATACTCACTGGCGGTCTGTAGTGCTTCGGCATGATGAATCACGAGAGAGCAGAACTTGCAAGACTCTCTAGGGCTTAGGAATCTCCGAGAAAAGCCGAAACTCGCTAGGGTTTTGCAGAAAGCGAATCGGCTAAAGTCGGCGAGGGAAAACTCAAGAATTTGGAGAGTTGAGACACCACCACCAGGGTTTACTGCTGCCCAAGAAATCATTAAAAAACAAAGAAATCTAGCCGTGAGTTGCGTTTGGGCATTTCTATACTAGGGTTGCATCGGACGGCCACGGAGTTTTGAGTTTGAAATGGTGGACGGTACAGATTTCCACCAGACTCTATCACGCACAAATCCAAAATTCATATGTGGACAAGCTTTTCTTCTGTTTTTTCCTTCTCGAACCTTATAATTAGGAGTGGGCGCTGCACAGGATTGGGTACCCATAAAATTCATGGTATCCGGATCCGTATCCAAAGAACTCGGGCATCAAAATCCCAATGGCCTCAAGTACCCGGTTTACGAGTATCATGTAAAATGTGTGGGTGCTCGCCAGTACCCGAAACCGCAACAAATTTTATAAAAATTTAAAATGTTTGATTAGAATTACACAATATAAATTTCGGCTTTGGATGGAGATGGCTTTTACTTTGGGTTTTTGGTTTTAGTTTTTAGATTTTGGTTTTTAGTTTTTAGTTTTTGGCTTTTGGATTTTATAATATTAAACTACTTTTTCATTGATTTTTTCACTAAAATGCCTTTCTAAAATGCCTTTCTAAGTTTACTTTTTATGTTTTTTTTGGTTTTTGGATTCTAAAAACCATTCAAGACCTTCATTTAATTCAACGATCCCACATATATCACCATATAATAAAAAGTTTCAATTCTATCTTCAAAATCCATCTAAATACAAACATATTCTTCGTCATGATACAAAGGAATGTCAATCTACTGATACAACTACCAATTCCATAGCCAAAACCTGCAACATAATCGGTAAAATAGTTTTTCACATAATTTTTTCCCTTTAGTTTTCGTAAACGTCAACATTTTTTTAAATTAAGGCAAATTCTGAGAAATGTCAGTGGGATTTCAACGAACACTTAGTGGGTATAATCTCGAGCCTAACGTAAAAATCACAAGCCCCTAACCGTAACTATAAAACCCCTCTTTTTCGCAGAAATCAAACGAGAATGGTTTTAGATGGGAGATAAACCTAACAATATAACCTCAGAGGAGGCAAGAGAAATAGAAATCGAACCTGAAAAGAGATGGTACGTGAGAGATGAACGCGGCGACGGGATGAAGAGAGAGTCGAGCGCGGCCTACAGTCCATTGGGTTTTGAGAGTATGAGAGAGGAGTAAGTTAAAGTGAGGAGGCTGGAGGCTGCGTGTATCGTGTTTCAACCTAATGGCATTAATGTAATTATCACACAAATTAGGGAACTTTTTAACAAATATAGACATATCACCCATAAACAAAATTGAATAGCTGGTTCTCATACACGTATTCACAGATGTCACAACGAAAATATTTATTCCGAATACGTTCAAGATTGGAGTCCAAAAATTGAATATCCGCGATTTGGAAACTCGCATGTACCATAATTATAGTATTAATGAAAAATGGACCAAACTTTTCCTACTTTTTTTCAATTTTCGTAAATTGTTTTTTTTTTCTTTCATTTTTTCCATTTCGTGATTCGAAGACAACACAGCATTTTATGGAAATCAAAATTAGTCCTATGGAGTGATTGATAACAAAAACAATACGGGGTTTTCATTTCACCTCTAATTCATAAAAAAAAAAACGGTACAAAGTCTTTTTCGTCACTGAGGGGGTGGTGGTGGTTGCTGTTGAGGATCGTCGGAGTTGGGGATCCAGAAGGTGAGTACGGTAGAGGCAGCAACGAACATTGCTCGACGAGGTGCCCATTTCAGACATGACACTACTCCTATGTTGTTCTCCCACCTTGCCACCTCCCCCTTCATTTTTCCCCCCTTCATTTTTTTTACCCGAAAATGTCAGCAGTGAGACATCGGAAAGCAAATACAGGATCATTCGGATGTTATATGTACGTACCTCGGCGGGTGACTCGATGTCCCAGGCATGTATTGTCCCATCTCCAGAGCCTGAAACATAGCCTTAGTGTAAGACCGATTCAAGTCGAAATACACACACTAGAACTATGATCGACGAACAATCATAACCTACAAGATGTCGTCAAGTGTGATACTTGGAATACTACTGTCAGTCTACGTATAGTTCCAAAGCCAGTAAGATCCACCAGTTCGTAATCTGTTGTGTAAAGATCAGGTTTTGACAAGGGTGCTGAGCAAACACTATATACCTGAAAGCACATATTTGCCATCGGGTGTGAATGTGGCTTCTATCAAAGTACCCGGAGATTGCTCCAAACTATAACCACATTTCTGCAAAGACAAATAATCCTTTAGTTTTACCAACTATAGGCCCCAGAGCAATTGATCAATGAGAACCGTGTGATAATCTAAGCATCATTCCTCTTGCTATCTCTAAGCAATAGAACAAAAGGAAAGGTTTGGGAAGAGGATCACCTTCTCTCCACGGTATGCATCTAGAACATAGACATTGTTATTTGTAGTTGTTAGGAGCATTGATTTGCCATCATTACTGAATTTTATATCGCACACCTCGGCCGTATCTCCACCGACCAGAAATGTGTCAAAGGGACCCTACGCAGGAAAAATAAGTTGGAAGCAGCAATGAGATTATTCAATAAGTGATGTGTGTTTCAACATATTAGGTGACTCACCTTGTCATAGCTCCGAGAATCAAACAATTTAATCGCACCTCCTTCCATTGCAATTGCAAATACCAGGCCTTGTTGGTCATACGCCACTGCAGGTCTACCACGTAGGTGTAGAATTCCCTATAGACTACAAGGGTAAGCACTAAACATAAACCATGAAACCATATCCACTCATAAATAAAAATTATAACTGAATCCTGGAGAGAAGAAATTTTTAATAAAACTTTCCTATAAGTAAGAGAGCTTCGAATGGTTGATTGTTTTAACTTAGCTTTCAAGGTGAACTAAGAAGCTCTTACTAAACAAAAAGAAGCGGTACATCCCCCAATAAACATCTGTCTAGACAATGGAGAGCCGCTACCAACCTGGCAGGCATTTACGCGAAGATCCCAAAGTCTAACGCTTCGGTCAAGGGAACCAGACATGAAGCTATCATTTATAGGAGACATACATAGCGATACAACCCTAAAACAGCAAGACATTTAACATCAATGTGCATAACACTAGTGTAACAATGTCATCGTTCTAAATTTATTTTTACAGGTATACTATACCTGTCTTTATGTCCTTTAAAGTAGCGAAGGATCCGATTATCATACATTGAGAGATATCGCAAGGATTCTGTAAGGAGAATAAATCAAGTAAGCATCTACTTCCTACTATCAAAGAACATACTGTTATTACATGAAAGAAAAGAAAGCCTCACCTCCACCAGGCTCCAAATTATATCGGGAAGAGCAAATAAGAGAGCTTGGGTGATGAGTAAAACACACACGATCCGCACCATGTTTCTTGTGATATGTAATCTTGAGCTGCCTAAGTTTCAGACGAAAAGGCATAGAGACAAAACTTGCATCAAATTGAAATTCGACCTTCAACGCAACCTATTTTCCACAGAATCCAACTATAACCTAGTGATCAGATAAAATATAAAAAAAAAAAACAAGAACAAGATTGTGATTCAAACAGCAAATTTGCAAGTACAGCCACCAGGAATCGAGGAAGCTCGTTCATGCCTGAGAATGCATAAAATGCAACAAGTAACAGATCCAAGCCGAGAACTGATCAAGACCCATATAAACCGGTCTGATAGAAAGGACAACAACAATGCCACAAATTAAGCATCATTCAATCGACAGAGAAACAATCAGTCACAAAACTTGGCCAGACTAACCAAAAACGTTGTTTGGAGGTAAATAATCAGTACTTTGTGCTAAGAAAGGATTAGGTCCCGCTTCAGTTCTCGATAGCTTCAAATAAAATAATTACTTGGCCAACTGACGTATCATCAGAAACAACAGCTAAAATGAGGCGGTGTGCAACTAGCTTCAACAAAAAATTCTCTCGACTGTTCTACAAGTTCATCGTTGTTACAGCACAACAAAGCAAACAAGTATCTAAGCCCTTGAGTTTCACCAAAATATCTTAACTGGATTCCTTAACGAAGATTGTGCAAATCAATGAATCCGAAGGAAGGAACTGACTTAGCATTGGCGATGTCATAGAGGCGAAGAGAATCATCCTCGCTGGCTGTGACTAATAGATCATCCGTGCGATGAAAATCCACCGAATGTATCTTCCCTCCCTGAAATTTTCCGAGCAGTCTGTCAAATCGAGAAACAAACGGACAGAGTTCTAAGGAAAGTGAAGAATCATCGAACGATCAGAGAAGCACAAATCTTCCGTACGAAATCGGAGAAGACGGCACCGATGGCCATGCTTCTCACTAGTCCGTCGTCTAGCTCCGACAGAGACATCGCCCCCGTCGTTGAAAAGCGTAGAGGGAGAGAGGAGCGAGGAGCTTTCGCAGGGTCGAGAGGTTATTCCTGATTATAAACCCACCGATACGACGCCGTCGAAGGATAACTCCTACGGTGTTGTAAACTTGTAATTAAATCTAGGGAACCGACATCCGTGCCGTTTTCTGAGCTCAACAGAGAGGAAATAAAAAAAAAACCACAAGCTGTTTTAGGGTCAGAAAAACGACGGGATTTTTTAAGGTCTCTGCCGAGATACAAATACACAGAGGAAGCGAGGAGAAAAGAAAAACTAAAAGAGTGCATCATGATCAAAAGTTTCAATCAAACACAAGGGATAAATAAACTCCGGAAGAACAATGAACTCGATACGAAGCAACAAAGAGGGAAGATGTTTGTGATCTACAAGAAGTCAGCAAATTGACAGATACCCTCAAACCAGAAAGTAGACAAATGTGACAAAAAAAAAGAGAGTAGTGTTCTATACAGTGTCGATCAAACCGCCATCCGAAAGAGATGGACTACCGGCCACCGAACCAACCTCTCGGCGGCTGCTGAGTCGCTCCTCCTCCTCCTCCTCCTCCATTCATCAACTTATCTAAAACCACGTTTAGGTCGACAGCTTGACCATTCTCAGTCAGTCTTCTCACAGTTGCCTTGACTTGCTCCCTGGGGAAGCCCATGGTTGTGACCTTGTCCACCACATCATCGATTGGGACCCTGTTTCCAGACCTTGGTGAACCCGAACCCCCACTGCTAACGGCTGAAGCCATTGGCAAAGCGTGTGGAAGCATACGGGCAGTCGGAAGCTGTGGGTAACCACCGGTTTCCCCACTGCTCAAGTGGGGCGCCGCTTTCATTGGGGGGGTACTTCCAAACTGAGGAGAAGGAGAGCCAGTATATGGATAAGGTTCAGAAGAGTACCCAGAAGGAAACCCTGAGCTAGATCTACCACCTGGGCCATCATATATTGGTGGAGGAGAAGCATAGTACTGTTGGGCAGGGGCAGGGGCAGAACCAGTAGCCGGTTGACGAGGCGGATTTGGTGGATAGGGCTGGGGAGGGAATGGTGGTTCCTCAGGGTGGTAGCCTGATGATGGAGGTTGAAGCTGCTGCTGCTGAGGTGGCGATGGCTGAGGGTACTGTGGTTGTTGAGGCGGTGATTGATATGGAGGTTGATGTGGTTGTTGCAGTGGCTGAGCTGGGGGAGGAACTTGGTAAGGAGGCTGGATTGGAGGTGGTTGGGTCTGGCCTTGCCCAAGTGGTGGGAAATAAGGCTCCTGTTGGGGAGCAAACTGACTTGGGAGCTGCGGTGGATGTGAAGGCGGTGGAGGGTGGCTCTGCTGGGGCAGGCTCGATGGAGTAGCAGGAGCTGGAGGTTGCAAGAACGGAGGAGGATGAAGCTGCGGCATATGGGGCTGAGGTGCTGACGCAGGTGGTTGAGCCACTGGGTCAGTGTGCGCAGTGGTTTGTGTTTCGGGTTGTTGGTCTACCTTTGATATTTGAAATTTCGAGAGCTGAAGCTGCGCTTCAACAATTTCTTGTTTGTCCTTCAACAACTGCACACCACTTTGCACCTACAAGCAATTGACACCATGAAATCCATAAAGTAGTGATATCGTAAAGCAGGAAGACTTAAATGAAACCTTCATAAGCCTGACATCCAAAATTTGTTCCTTATTGGGTCTATACACGGGAGTCCTGCTTCTTAAAATAAACAGATAAATATTTCCCTAAACAGGTTTGAATTGGCACGAAAAAGCGCACTCACGTAAAAAAAAATGTCTACAAATACACAAAGGTTATGGCAACTTCATTTCTTTTCCCACCATAGGCAGGATCCAGATTTCCTGTTTGTCTGATATCACGAATCTACATACTAGAAAACACCCAGTTTTGTCTCTCCCAATTTCAAGATAATTTCTGTCACTATTGATAAAGCATGTTATCCATATGGGAAGTTACCTCTAATAGGATATTTTCAAGTTGTCTCATTTTCCCATCAGTGCTACCATGACTGTTGCCAACAGAAACTTTCAGATCATCAACCAGATTCTCGAGGTTGCGGGTTCTGGTTTCAAGCTGTGTCAAACGTGCACTGAGACCTTCCATGGCATGTAGCAAGTTATCGGCATGTTTCTTCATAGTCCGATCAATCTCAGATAAGATTGATGTATTAGGGGCACTCCGATCCTTCTCAAGGACAAACTTTCCAGGTTCAAGAGAATCGAGAGAACCATAACTCTGCAATCCATATAAAAGCCGTGATTAATGTTCGTGAAGGGGGAAAGCTAGTTTACAGGGAAGATTATAGCTTATTCAAGCAAACATATAAGCACTCTCTATGACCGGAAAACAAAGGCTAACGGCCGCCGGTTAAAAAAGAATGGGCATCCCCGTGTAATTGAAATCAATCAAACTACATCATATACCAAGACACGAAAAGGTGGTGGCTCTCTACAACATGACTTAAACAAATAATCCACCATTCCGTCCAAACTGTACACGGGACATGAAAGAACAATGCACAGCGAGCAAAAGAGAGCATAGAAAGCAACAGATAGAAAGCAGAAAAAGCAAATAGTTCGTTGACGCAAACAAATAGTGGTCTGCTTCTTTCAAGTTTTAATGGGTTTGAACGCCAGGGTACCCGCAACGGAGATACTGATCCAAAACTCATCGATCAATTAAAGTAGCAGAACGGTAGTATTATACAATATCGCCGGAAGCTCTCTAATACTATATAAAGCCCCAAAATCGAACACTGAAACTAACGGCAGGACCAGGAATACATATGATCTGACGCAGTCATAACGGGGATGAAGATTATAAAAGCACAAAAGCGCAGAAATAGGGAATGAAGTGGAATTATTACTCTGGTAGGCGAAGCGGAAACGGGCCTCGAATCAGGGGTAAAAACCCTAGGAACCGAGGAATTCGCAGATCCGGCTAGATCTAACGCTGAGTGAGACAATCCGGCGGTGGAAACAGGGCGAATAGGTTGGAAATCATAGCTAGGAACGATCGCTTCCTTCTTCGAGGAATCCATAACATTATCGCCGCCGATCGAACCGCTTCGCTGCTTCTGGTGATCGTCGTCCTGAGAATTGTTCATCAGATCGATGAAGTCCTTGGAAGGCGAAGAAGAGGATAGATCCATTATCTGCTTGTCCATGAACTGAGAAGTTTTCATCGATTGACAGAAACTTTCTCAGACTTCTGGGTTTGATAGGAAATAATGGGTTTTTTTTTTTTTATAAATGGATTTTTGGTTTTAGACTTAAATCGCTCTCGGTAATGCTATTATTAAGGTTAAATATACACATCGTGTCAACATTTATACACCCTTCTGGTTTACGCGGAGGGTTCATTGACAGCAAAGCAATACTCAAAAACACTTTTTTTTTTTCAATTTCTAAACTTTTAAACGGATTTTATAATATTTATAGATTCAAAAAATTTAGTTTTTTTATTTTGCATCGATTTTTTTTACCGAAATGGATTTTCAAATTTAAAAAAAATGATTTTATAAAAATTTAACGATAACTTATTTTTTAGTTTTTGGATTTTAAAAACTCAAAAGACTCGCATAACACAGAAAAAAAACGTGCAAACATGCAAATCCAAGTCTGATTGCACAACATTCGCATGCCACTTATTACAAAAAATTATTTTCAGATGAGCAAAAAGCAAAATGAGAAATGCTGTATTTCTTTCTAAAAACTAATCCAACTTTTTCTGGGAATAATGAAACGTGCTCAGACAGCGGCAAGCTCTTTGAGTTTCCCTTGGAGATTCGAGGCAACAGCGTCGATGAACTCTTCTGTGTTAAAGTACAAATCTCTGGTCACCCTGTTTTCACACACCAAACCCATCAAGTCACTAATCACTCTTCATTCCACAAAACTAGTCAACATGTCAGGGATCATACATATTACAGATTCTGATATATATATATATATATATATGTATACAGACTAAATAACAGCTGCGAGTAAACCCTATACTTTTCATTACAGAACCAAAATCTGTGTTATACACATCTCTCTATCTGTTTAAGATCCTCCTACTTACTAACGTGTGATCATGCTGGTTCAGGTACTATTCCACATGAAATGTCGGGTATGACAGACATGGTTCTGTAAGTTATGCCACTCAGACTTGACTCGAGCATGGCTTCATCAGAAGTTTAACAATAAAGAAATGTCTACTTACTTTGGACCGTGGACCAAAATGGCGAGATCCTTGGTCATTTTACCAGCCTCGACAGTGTCTATGCATGAGGTCTCAAGCTTCCGGACGAAATCATGCAATTTTTCGTTCTTATCAAGCTTCGCCCTTCAGAAATAAAAAATGAAATCCATCAAGGTGGTCAGATGATTACATATTTTATACAGTTTAAGGATGTTGAGTTAGAAACATGTATAAACCTCTCGTTTTCTTATCTTTCAGAAGCGCCCAAAGAAAAACTACGAGCAATGAGCAAAAACATGATGACAAAGGACAGTTCTGGACTGTTGTAAACATGAGTAAGAATAGACTGGCTAGAGAAACAAGGGACTAAGAACCTGTGTGCGAGGCCACGTGTCCAGGCAAATATAGAGGCTATGCTGTTAGTACTGGTCTCTTGACCCTTCTGATGCAGTCGGAAATGCCGAGTCACGGTTCCATGAGCTGCCTCTGATTCGAGTGTCCTCCCATCAGAGGACAACTGCACAAAACATCTCATATAAGACTCCCATCATCTCTTTGGTCTAAGGTGATCTCTACATATAATTAGATACGTACCAAGACCGAAGTCATTAGGCCCAATGAGCCAAACCCTGCATAGGACCAAATAAGAAGTAAATGCAGGTAAATTTCTGGCATATCGACCAATTTGTCGCTAATCAAATTTATATAAATGTACCTTGGGCAAGCAGATCACTTTGAACATCACCATCGTAATTTTTGCATGCCCAGACATATCCGCCTTCACTTTTCAGTGCATAAGCCACCATGTCATCAATCAACCGGTGCTCGTACCTGAAGACAATGTGTTTTGCCTATTAAGTTTCCCAAACATGCGAAGCAAGAGAAGTAGAAGACAAACTGCAATAAGAGCAAACAGCAACCATATAGAGTGCTCTTCAAACTTTTGCTTCCAATTCGATTCATAAACTTCTTGGAATATGTCCTTGAACCTGTAATGTTCAACCAAATCTTGCTTAAAACTTTCACTCAGGACTTGAAATTTGAAAATAACCAAAACAACAAAACCAACCTGCCATCGTATTTCTTAAGAATTGTGTTCTTGGTACTCAAGTATAATGGCCACTTCTTAGAGAAGGCCATAGCCATTGATGACTCGGCAAAAGCTCGTATTGACTGGCATGTTATAAAAAAATAAGTCCAGGTGATATGATAAAACAGCACAACCAAACAGACAAGATAATGCCAACATAAATATGATGCAAACCTCATCAACATTGTACATCGCAAGGGCAACACCTGGGCCTTTAAAGTCGTATACATCTAATTCCACGGGTGCATTCCCACCTTCTGGGACTAAGTCCATGACGATAGAGTAAGTAAAAACCTGGACTAAACGATTGAAAGATGTTTTATGGAAAATGGATCAGCATCAACTCACCAAAAACCATTTTTAGCCTTCCTGGCTCTTTAATTATTGTATCAGTGGCGCGATATTGGTCACCAAAGGCATGCCTGCCAATGCATATAGGTTTTTTCCAACCTGATAAGATATGAATACCCATGTGATGCCGCACGATAGCTCTTAATATAGAATATGGATTTATAACAATGTTAGATTACCAGGGACAATCCTGGGTATATTCCGGCATAAGATTGGTTCGCGGAAAACAGTTCCTACAAAATAAAAAACACTTTGCTAAGAATCATTTAAATTAAAAAGGCATAATAAGCCCTACTATGTTAACATTTGGTATTCTCTGAGAAGCTATAGACAAACCATTTAAGATATTTCTAATTGTGCCATTAGGACTCCTCCACATGGACTTTAATCCAAACTCCTTCACTCTGGTCTCATCTAAAGGGGAAAGAAATAAAGTAGATAAGGCAAGACTTCCACAAAACAAAAACATCTTTTTTGACAAATGAGATGAACAGATAATAACTTTGAACATATGTGGCATCACTAACCAGGAGTAATAGTGGCACATTTGATGGCAACGTTGTACCTGCAAGGGAAGTAATGCCAATGATATGGATCTCCACACTTATATTCATTTCTTCAATATGTTTTCAAGAAAACAATAGACATGCCAGCCAGAAGAAACACAAAATGGAAACCAAAATCCAAAGAGGAAAAGAACGACCCATACGACTTACTTAAGGGCTGCTTCAGCACTTTCAACTGTGACCTTGTCATCAGTCGCATCACGATTAAGTATCCCCAAGTCGAAGTACTTAATATCTAAATCTAGATAAGGTAAAATAAGCTGCAACAACGTGTAAATGACATACAAACAGCTCAGGTCTCCTGGTATAGTGATAGCTATAATCTAATATACATGAAGAAGGGGGGAAATGGAGATGAACACCCTTACTTTCTCCTTTATCATACTCCATATAACCCTTGTCATCTCATCGCCTGATGCCCACAAGAAAAGAAATTGTTTTAACATATATTCTCTGAAACACCAAAGTGACAACTTGCTCACTTCAAAGGCACACGAAAAGCAGATAACCAAACAGTAACAACCTTAAAATAAACAAATTGGCTTCAAAATATCATTCCACCCAATTCAGTGACACTTAGCAGACTGGAAATCGATCGATTCACACTCGATGGGTCACTAACAGCACTTAACCATCCGCCAAATCACAACATTTCTACGGGAACAAACTATGGCAGTAACAGTTCATCCCAAATTTATCTTTCTCGCAATCAGTCATAGAGTATATGTTCTCTAGCAATAGGAGAATAGACCAAACGTTGGAAAACAAGAGAACGATTCTTCACTCACAACCCAAAAGTATGAACAAAAGTTTGAATTATTCAAACAGTCAAATCAGGAAAAAGGAATAAGGTAAAGGGTTCTATCGAATGGGGTTTAGAGGGAGCGAGAGAATCTCACCATCCATTTCTACGATAGGATTCTTAACCTGGATTCTATCAGAAGCACCAGAAGAAGCGAAACATCGAACAGAGATGGCGTGACGGAACTGAAGAGGAAAAGCGATGCGACTCCTCGAGGCGCCATTGGGGAAGATTCCGGAATTGGGAAATCGCGTAGACTTGGAAGGATATCCAAGGGACGACAACGACGATGCAGACGAGGAAGAAGAAGAAAACATGGCGGAGGCACGGGACATGAAAGCGGCGTGAGACAGCTTTCTCAGCATCCGAGCTTTATTCCTTCACCGCCCACTCGATTTGAAGCTTCTCGAATGTCTACTGCATTTCCAGTCGAAGCGGTGCGGCCAAGTTCAAACAAACATCGAGATAAAAAATAAAAAAAATTTGCCTTTTTTTTTGTAATATCTAAATTCGCTCACGGCATTATGGGCCATAATATCCAGAAGCCCAAAACAGAAGTTAGAGTTCCGGTTGGATAAAGACCGAACAGAACAAAACCCTTTTCTCGTTTTTCGTCATCGTGTATCGTGTTTCCTTAAACCTGGTCTGGCACAGCCCATCCGTCTAAGGAAGATTCAAACGGTGATCACTGATTTACCATCTCGATGGTTGTCTATCTTTTAAGGTTTATCTATAGAGTCCGAAGATCAACAGTATTCTTTTGTAATTTGAATCCTGCATTAGATGATGCCCTTCGCTAGCCGAACAACAATGATAAGGAAAACCACCTAAGTGCACGAAAAATCACTTGTTTCAAATATATATATATATATATATATATATATATATATTGTGATTTTTTTTAAATAACCAGACGGATCTCAATCAGAAATCGTGAGAGAACCAAATATAAGTATTTTTTTTTCTGGTCAACGGACGAGAGGAAGAAGAATAAGTATCGTACACGATATTTGGTAAAAACTATAAGATAATTTGGAATTATACACAAATTGCGTACAAGTTCGTGCATGTTAAGATCAAAAAATATTATCGAAAATTTCACGGGTGTAACAGGAGAATCAAACTAGTGCATTAAAAAACTATATATTTTTAATTTGGAAATCTAGTTGATACACCACTGAAGACTCGAGAATTTTCCCATAAACTTGAGTTTAATGGAAGAAGCATTTTCGGCGAAAAATAATGAGGTAATATTGGATATAATTTTTCCTACAAAAACAACCAAAAAAAAAAATAGAGATTAGTTTGAATGTATAAAGTTTAAAGGTGGTGGTTCATAATTGAACGTCGTTTAGGATATTTCGTGGTCAATTCCAAAAAAAAAAAAATCAATGTGTCCGACATGGCTGCTTAAATATACCAGCAACTACCATATCTGCATCAAACGACATAATTTTCGAATATTCATGTAACATGTTCTTCCAAATATACCCTCAAGGGAGAAAAAATCCAATAGGTAAAGAGATCATTAAAGATGGAGACAACCCACGAGAAAGCACCAGGCAACTTTGTTCGAATTTTTCAGCTAAACATCGCGAACTTGCATTTATGTTTTTACCAAACGTTTGTACAATTTGATTCGTAAGGTTACGTTCGTTACTTTTTGAATCACAGACCCAAATATAAACGTATATATAATATATATATATACTTTTAGAGTCAAGTAAATATTCGTTACCGGAAGGCTTGTGAACCTCCCGATTACAAAAAAAGAAGTAAATCTTCGATACAAAATTCGAACCTGTGACCAATTTTCATAAACGTACACGTGACATACATCATTTATGCATAAAGTACACAAGTACGTAGAGGACACGTGTACTACAAAAATTTGGACGGAAAGGAAATTAGCAAACAAGGGACGCTAACATGGAATCACGGGTAATGGATATGTATATAAGAAGAGCTTCATCAGAGGCACAAAATCTGGAAAGAAGACCTCAAAAGGATCACCAATTGCAAGCCAATTCCCCCCCAATTGTAACCAATCAAAACCAAGTCACGAGATTTGCTCTCAGACTCTTTTGCTTTTTTAACACAGGGGAAGAAGCTCAATCACAAATCCTTTTGTAACTTCTTTTTCCAAATAAATAAATAATATTTTTTATAATAGAAAGTAGACAACTCATCAGTTAGTTGCATTAAATAATTTCATTCTAGCACAACCAAACAAAATCTTTCTTTTTTATTATTAGTATTATTACTGTTCATGCGAATTTTCAAACGCCGTTTTTTTATATTAGCCGTTTCAACGTCAACTCATGCGACGCAAACACTTTGGAACGTGCTATTCTACAACCTACTTACTATATATACCCTTGCTTGATCCGAGTTCGTCCATTTGCATATATATATATATATATATTATGTATCATAATTTTCGTTTATTTAATCTAACATATGCAAGATCCAATGAATACCATACCATATATCACCGTATGTTACGGTGCTTAATTTAAGGGCTGGGCCCCGGGGGTGACATAACAAAATTTAAGGACTTGGAAAACAGAAAATAAATTAGATTATCTTTTAATTAGGGCATACAAAACAAAAGTCATGGGAGAATGATATTATGATGAGGTGGCGTACCGGTAATTGCATGGCAACTTGCACGCTTCAAAATCTTCGCATTCCTTCTCTCTTCCAGCTTCAGATGAACACTACAATGTATGGTTTCAACTCAAATAATAAATAAGAAGCAGCAAGAATAGGATTCATATTATACCAAATAAGAAAATCACCTACTCTGATATATTCTAGAATAAAAGCAAAAGGAGTGGTGTGTGTTTCTGTTAAGCTTTAAGCTTAGGGTTATGGGTTTTGGTTTTGTTAACCGGAATGTGGCATAACAGACGTACCAGAGAGCTTACCAATATTGGTTAAGTGTTACATCGGAGTTTGGTTATGACAAACAGCAAAGCAAACAGGTGTAAACCGGGTGATGGCAAACAGAACCGATAAATTCCGGTTCATTGCATGAGTTGACTGCACGTAAAGACGTGCTCGCTTGTTCCCCAGCCACTCAAACTGCACAACAAGAGTCAGTAACAGTATGCAATTAATGAGCTTCCTCTTATTAACACAGGCATACAAAGTTTGTTTATAGACTAATCTAATTAACAAACGAGCCTGTTCAATATCAATACCAACCAAATCATTTGAACGAGGTTTCCAAACAATGCTGATCTATAAAAAACCATACTTTCCAGTTCCCCTGATTCACTTCAGACAATGTAATGGTCAGCAGAACTTAGCCGATGAAGCAAGTAATCCCCCCACATGATTTTTCATTAAATAAAATAACAGTAGAGACAATTACGCCTATTGAATAAAGATAACCAATTAAAAGAAAATGCTTGAAAAAGAAGGTCCCAGATTTTGTCTTCACCTAACTGTTTAACTGTATGCCTCATGCACGTAACAGTCCTCTTCTCTACTTATAAATACGACCCTTTGCTTTCCTCTCCTTTATCACCCATCTAAATAAAGTCTCCTCGTACAAAGTCCTGATATCCAAGCCTTCATATCATCTTTAACAATATGGGTAAACTTACCTTAAAATGCCTTGCGTGGAATGTGCTCATCTCATTCTCCCTGTTATCTTTGAGTGTCGGGATCTGTGAAGCTGCTAGGCACGGTAGATCCTGGAGAGGAAACCGTTCTCTGGTTACCACACAAGGAGAAAATTCTAAAACATTCAATGTGTTAGACTATGGTGCTAAAGGTGACGGTATTACCGATGACACAAAGGTATGCCTGTATATTTTGATGAAATGCTATTCAGTTCACCCAGAAAGAAATGCTATAACGGAATCACTAAGTTCAGAGATATTAAACCTCAAGATACAAATGTACCATTAAAATTGCAGGCTTTTGAAGCAGCTTGGGAAGCAGCTTGTAAGGTGGCAGCATCGACCCTGGTAGCTCCAACTGGGTCTACTTTCCTCGTTGGACCCATTTCCTTCTTGGGGACAGACTGCGCAGAAAACATAGCATTTCAGGTGATCCTTGAGAAGCCCAGTATATGGATTGAGCATGTATAATTGCTCAGTCAGGACTAACGTATTTGGATTAACTGCAGTTAGATGGAAAGATCATAGCTCCTACAAGTGCTAGTGCCTGGGGATCAGATCTGCTACAATGGATTGAATTCAAGACACTTAAAGGAATTGCAGTCAGAGGAAAAGGAACAATCGATGGACAAGGATCAGTTTGGTGGAATGATTCACCCAATTATGATCCAACAGATGAGTCAGAATCAAGAATCGGTTATTCTAATGACACGGTAAAAGAAGAAATTCATTTTTTTTGTATAAGCAAAAGCGAAAATCCCGCCCAATGTTCTTTCTCCAGGAAATGACCTAAACTTTTCTCCATCTCATGTGATAAAGATGCAGGATCAACTGAGTCAAAAGATGCCACGGACCAGACCAACTGTAAGCCACTCCTCTAAGAAAAGAAAAGAATGTCATCAGAGGCAATTAGTGTTAAGGTCCAGAATTTAAAATTCACGTACTTTGGCATGTAGGCTTTGAGATTCTATGGGAGTAATGGCGTGACCATCACTGGGATAACCATACAGAATAGCCCTCAGACGCATCTCAAGTTTGATGACTGCTCTGGTGTACAAGTGTCCGGTTTCACAGCTTCATCCCCCGGGGACAGCCCCAATACTGACGGAATTCACCTGCAAAACTCCCACGATGTTGTCATTTACAGCAGCACTCTAGCTTGTGGTAGCTAAAAACTTCAACTACATATCTCCTTCTGTTTACTTGCAAGTCCAAATAGCAATAGAAGTGAATTAGCATTAGAGATTGATTAAACGAAGACAAGACAATTGAACTTGTTACATACAAACAAGATTATCCTCAGCAATAATGAATCGTTCGATAGAACTTCGTATTCACCTGTTTACTCACGGTAATCACAAATTAATCCAGAATCACACAAAATGCTCAAGCTATGGAGAAACTTGCAAGGAAGAGAAGCACTTCTAGATGCGTAGGTGCTTGTTAATCACCCTGACGCATTACTTGCATTCTACAGGAGATGATTGTTTATCAATTCAAACTGGATGCTCCAATGTATACGTACACAATGTAGATTGTGGACCAGGCCATGGAATAAGCATTGGAGGACTAGGGAAGGACAACTCAAAGGCATGTGTTTCAAACATCACTGTCCGTGATGTCACGATGCATAATACTTTGAATGGCGTTAGAATAAAAACCTGGCAGGTACGACCCTCAAATCAACTTCTCCTATCAAATCTCCTATGCTACAACCAAAAACACCTTTGCAGAATTATAGGCATATAACACCAGACAGAAATCATACATAACAAAGTTGGCATTACTTTATGATCATGGCAGGGGGGATCAGGGTCTGTACAACAAGTCATGTTCTCAAATGTTCAAGTCAATGACGTTGCCAGCCCAATTGTGATCGATCAATATTATTGTGATGGTCGTGGATGCCAGAATAAAACTTCAGCAGTGGCTGTATCAGGCATAAACTACATAAACATAAAAGGTACCTACACAAGGGAACCTGTACGGTTTGCTTGCAGTGAAAGTCTGCCATGCTCAGGAATCTCTCTATCTACCATAGAGCTTAAGCCAGCCTCAGAGAAGGCAGATTCAAGCAATCCTTTCTGCTGGGAAGCATATGGTGAGCTGAAAACTACAACTGTTCCACCAATTGCATGTTTGCAAGCAGAAAAATCGTCAGGAGCCAAAAGTCAGTCCTTCCACGATGCTTGCTGATATCAAATCAACAGATTCTATGAAAAAATATTAAGATAGGGCACATTTGATACTAGTAAGGGAGTACTGTTTCCCTTGCTATAAATTATTCCCACAGGAATAGAATGTGAAATTCCTACTTTATCCTATGCTACTTGTTAGAAAGCATCTGCACAATAGTGTATACCAGTTGCATGTCAATGCAATGCAAAATATTATAGGCATTATCACAATATCTTCTGTTGAATCATCAGACATCTACTTGATTGATCATAAATCATAACAAGAATGCTGACAGAATACAAGAAAGCTTTCACAATTCAAGTCTAAAGAACAATGTGGTGCATAATTTGAATCACATATGGAAGTAGAATGTATTACATTCTATAAAATTTTCTCAAGAAAAGCATATTGCTGCTCTTGCTTTAGTCCTCATTGTCATCGTCTGAAGATAGACGTTTGCCGGTGGACAGTATCATTTAACTACCAATAAGAAAGAAACTAGTCTAAAACTCAGAGCAAAGAGTACACAAAAGAAGTTGTATTAAGGAACTGATGCGTTTTACTTGAGATTTAAAAAAAAAAAATTGATGCGTTTTACTTGAGATAAAAAGGATAACATACAAAATGATTGCACTTAGTCTGCAAGACCGTTATAAACTCAAATATAGGCTAAAGCTTAGAAACCAGAAGAAGATGTTATCACAGAACAGACAATGAAATAAATATATAGATGGAAGATTTCAACTCATATTCAAAACCGTAGAGCTTCCTGTGTAGCCCACGAAGTTGTTTAATGTCTCAGTCTTCAGAAAACAAACCATAGTTCTTTCTCATGGCCTGGTCCTATAACATATTCAGAATCCTGTAGAGGAAAGAGGAAGGACAGATTCAAGAAATAGACTCGAGAGAACGAACAACAATTACTGCAAATTCAATTCTCAACTTGGAAAAATTATCCAACCACATCATACATGAAGAATTAAAGGGAGTTTGAGCAAGTTGGACCGCCAGCTCAACGTTTTCCAAAACCTACTCCAGCTTTCTTTCTTTTCCGTGTTTGTATCTTTTCAGGACTCGGCAACCCAGTCTTCTCCTCATACTTCTTCTCCAGGGCCTATACATGAGAAATTGGTCCCCAAATATATACCATGGTAGTTAAGTGTCTAATACCAAGGCTTTGAATGGTAGTGGCTTTTATTTTGGGTTTTTGGCTTTAGTTTTTGGTTTTTAGTTTTTAGTTTTTGGTTTTTGGCTTTTGGATTTTATAAGTTTGTAAATCTAAAAAATTGTAGCTTTTGGTTTTTAGTTGATTTTTTTCATAAAGTAGATTTTCGGTTTTTTAGGAAAACCAAAATTTTAAAAACTTGATTGTTGGTTTTTTCAGTTTTTAAAATCCAAAAACTGCGAAAACCACCTCCCATTCAACACCTAATACTAATAGAGAGTATAGATCAGATAAACTTTCGAGGATGACTAGTTCTTAGATGGAAATGTTCGCCAAAAGCACTACTCGCTGCTAACGCCTGAAGGCTGAACTCCATAAGCGATTTAAAGTAGTCTAAACAAGTAACTGAACACCAGATCATTATAGACTTTTGCTATTGCTGCTACAGATTTACTCACCTCCAGCTCTTCGCGAATACCGTCAAGAACTTGATCTGACATTCTATCAAAGAAGAGAATGCCCTGTAAATATTGTCAATGGTCAGCTAATCTAACACAAATTGAAGCTTGAGAATCATACTAAAAAGAAACACCATAACACCTAGACGAAAATGAATAACCACTAAACAGATAAATGATTCCACGATGAAACTTTCTGATGCCAACGTCAAATGATCAAGCTTTTATACTAATCTCATCTAACCAAATGTACAAAAACTCGCCCTCACAACAGCAGTCAACATACTGTTCCATAAATAAATAATATGTTCTGTCTTGCTGTTTGATCAAACAAAGATATAAGAATATGGGGAATAAAAACCTGCAGATGGTCAAATTCATGTTGAAAGATTCGTGCAGGTAGACGGGAAAGACTGATTGAAAACCTTGCACCAGTTATGTCCCTTGCATCAATCTTGACAGAGTCTGGTCGCTGCAAGTATAGAAGTTACACAAAAACGATCTAATATGCTCAAGACCTTTGAAACACAAATATGGAGGGAATAGATTGAAAAGTTAACCACATTGGCATAAGAAAGATTGCACAAAAAAGGCCACCAAGATTCGAACATCATCCAATTAATCATTAGATGTGATATGAATAATCCTCAGAAAGTATAACATGCAGACATGAAGCAGTTAATGAAAATGTTACGGTATGAAACTTTTTTCTGAGGAAGATTTGCCAATCAACATTAAACTATTGCACATGTCAACAAGCAATTTATGTGCAATCAACAACCTGGAAGGACTAACTTAGTCAAATCTGGCTAGGTGAATAAGTAACACAGACATAGAAATGGAGGGCACAGCAGAAGTACCACAACATCAGCGTAGATCCCTGGAAAGGACAGGCAACCTTCATTGAATGGTACCAATTTGTTGGAATATTTATTGATTTTTGGATTAACAAGAACAATTTCATCTCCTTCGCCACGCCCTCCAGATGGATTAAACACCATGAGTTGCACGTTGATTCCTACTTGGGGTGCTGAGAGACCAATTCCATCAGTTCTGTCCAAAACAGGAACGTAACCACAGTATCATTGTGAGAGCTCTCTATCCATCCAAGCCAATTAAGTAATGAATAATAAGCTTTCAAATTAGAAGACGATATCAGAAGCACAACCACCACTAGCCAAGTAGCCAGCAATGAACGGCCTGACTACAGTTTGGTAACAATTCAGCTATCAACAATCTGCTGCTCATCCGCCAACAATCGATTTTCCTATAATTAATTACCACCGCTCACTACTAACTTAGAACTTTAGATCAATTTCCAAAATAATGAAGATGATGAACATATAAATGGCTAAATAGATATGAAGCAAAATGGATTGGCCACCAACACAGCAAGCTAAGGCAACAGAAAATAGCACCGCACGAATTATCTCCCATTTCCACCAAAATGAACCACAACAATCAAATAGGAGAGTATATTACTTGTACGACTTACTTATACATAACATCAAACATCTCATCTACCAAATTCTTCAGTGTCTCGTCGAAAACATCAATCCTCTTGTTCTTAGCTCGTAGTATAGGATCCGGATACTCAACAATCTTCAAAGGCGCCTTGAATTCAATATCAGAAGCTAAAAGAAAAGAACCCGAGGAAACAAGCATTAATCACATAGCAACTGAGCAAACAATCATCCAATTTAAAGAACTCCGTAACCACAACGTCACACAAATATAAGCAAACGTGAATACGCACACGTAAGTAGAAAATATATGCATCTACGTATATTCGAATTCTTTTTTGGGGCGGTACAAGCCGAAATCCGGAGAAATTCGAAGAAACTCAGCAACGCCTAATCCTAAACCTAAACAAGTTCGCAAGTACAGAACTGCAGTTACCAGAGGCTACTTCATCGTCTTTGGGGGAGATTCCGCGCTTCGCCAGAGCACGGACCGGAGACGGTGAAGGTCCAGTGCGGTTCACGGCGGAGGTGAGCACGGCGAGGCGGTTAGAAGCGGTGGAGAGGTTACTATGTCGAGAGAAAACGGGAAGGAGAATGCGAGAGAGCGATGTAGAGTGGAGACAACCATAGGCCATGGCCATTGAACGAAGTCTTCGGCTGCCGTAGAGCGAGAACACTTTTTTAATTTTTCCTGTAAGCGAATTAAATAGCCTCGTCCCATCATTCGTCGCGAATTCGATATGGGGTTTTCGGTTGAGGTGGTATCCTCCAAGATATTATTTTACAATAAAATAAATAATTAATTAATAATTTTTCCGGCTTGAGCGTCTCGTGGGCCACTGAGCCCTCCCTCATCTAAAAATAAATAAATAAATCATTAAACGTCTGAATATCCACGACGACGATAGACGGAAAACAGGTAATGCTTTCTTAGTTTGTGAAGCGTAGAAAACAATAATCAATAGGAGCAGCGTGAAATGGGTGTTTTCTTATTGTTTATCTCATAGAGATTAACAATCTGACCGACAAGGAACAGAACATAACTGACAGAAGCGGTAAAATGATCTCAAAGCGACTTAACAATGTAACAGGGAAGGGGGAGCAAGCAAGCAACCACACAGAGTGGCGACTCGGCCACTAAAACCAGGCAAAACTCGAAACTTAGACATCTACAAACAGCCGATATATATGGCTATATTTTAACATAATGAACCTTCAAAGGGCAGCATATATCCTATCTGCTTCGCCACCACTGCTATGGTTTCTTTCAATCTCAGCAGCTTCATGCCTGAGATTTGTCAGGAAAAAGAATTAGTAAACTCGAAATGCTGCAAGTAAAAAGAAATCTGTAAGCGAGCAAATTCACCAACTATAGCCCAAACGTGAGGCGGTAAAAAGGGTAAGGCAGAAACGCAAAATGTCCACCTGAGTTCGACCCCATCTTCTTGGGTTACCATTTACCCAAAAAAAAAAACATCACCAACAAAGAGGAACCAACCAACCTTGCTAGAAATGTTGTTGGAGAGCCAATCAAGGCCTTCATAAAGACCTTCCCCAGATGTTGCACACGTACTCTGGATGTACCTGTTATACATCGTCTTTTTAAGTTCTACCCTTCTCACGACAGAAATAAAGCAGCGCAGTTAGAAAGTAACTTTTGCTTTCAATTACCAGTGGCGTTGGCGGAGAGAGTGAAGGCCCAGCTTGTCTGTTATTTCTGCAGCATTCATCGCATTTGGAAGATCTTGTTTGTTTGCAAACACAAGAAGGACAGCATCCCTCAGTTCATCCTGCATTTATATATCCAGATTATATCTAAAAACAATGCATTTATAAACAAAGATAAGAGTCGGAGAAGGGGAAAAAAGGACCGATATAGAACCTCATTCAGCATACGATGCAGCTCATCCCTTGCTTCCCCAACTCGGTCCCTGTCGTTGCTGTCAACCACAAATATCAGTCCTTGTGTGTTCTGGAAATAGTGCCTCCACAACGGGCGGATCTGTTTTTTTTTTTTCAGGAAACAATATTCTTAACGCGTAAGGACAACAAGATGCACAAATATAGATCATGAATACCGGAATACCAAAGATCAGAGGCTATTAGAACTCTGACCAACTTAACAACTAGAAGCAGAGTATAACATGAATGTGTACCTTGTCCTGACCACCGACATCCCAAACAGTGAAACTGATGTTCTTGTACTCTACAGTCTCCACATTGAACCCTGACAACAAGAACCACCTCTCGTGATATTAGATTCTGAGCTGCATAACTTTCACTCATAAAACAAGAATTAGCAAGAGTAGATTATATAAGTCCATGGAGAGATCCAAGAGCTACAATTTCTCATAATTCAGACAAATAAGCAAATCAATAAACAACAAAAGAGCTAGAGCTGAGTAACATGATATAGGATACTTTGAACCTAGCAGTTAAACTAGATGCTACAGCCAGTTGGTTCCTAAAGACATACATTCTGGTCTAGATACCATGTGTCAAGGAATCCTGAAACTCACCAATGGTCGGGATGGTGGTGACGATCTCACCGAGCTTCAGCTTGTATAGGATTGTGGTTTTACCGGCAGCATCAAGACCTACCATCAGAATCCGCATTTCTTTTTTGGCAAAAAGCCGGCTGAACAACTTCGTGAAGCTGAGCCCCATTTTCCTCTGTCTTAGTAGCCCTGCACCAAGCAATATGTAGACCCAACCCAACAGAGAACCAAAAAACAGCATTAAAACAAGAAGAAACATGTTGGTAGAAGTAAAGCTATATACAAAAACCAGAGAAATCATTCCGACAACATACACCAAATCTGAAAACCTGAACCATTTTGACTGATCGAATCAGATCGATCCGTCGAAATCGAGACAAACTCAACAAAGAAGTCCGACTTATCTATCTACTGCTACAGATTGAAGCTACATCGATAATCAGAGCCATATACAGCTCAATCCGACAGGTAATCAAGGGGATCCATTCGCTCCAAATTGAAGCCTAATGGATCTTGCTCGTCCGAGATCAAACAACACCAAATTTTACCCACTACAAATCCAGGGAAATCATTTTCGAGCCGGAGGCAAAAAATTTGATGCGCGAGGAATTCAAAGAACAAAAATTGCAGTCTGCGACCAAACTAATCACCAGCAAAAACAATTCGACTACATATCCAACAGATTCATAGGTCACCAACAGAGAGAGACAAGACAAATCTCAACAAGAGAATTCAACGAAATATAAAAAAAAAAAATCAAACCAATGATATATCGGGGAAAGATGGAGATAGAGATCGATCACCAGAGAAGTTGAAGGGAGAGGGGTAAAAGGGAAAAATTCGAATGGAAGAAATGAACGAAAAATTTACCTCTCGAAATAACTTTTTGAGTGGATGTTCTATCAATCGGGTAATGAATAACCCCATACATTTTTTTTTTCTTTCTAGTCCCATATCAATCGGATATTTTGACTGGTCAATGACCCATCGTTTATTTATTCACGGTTTGTTTGTTTCCTTTATTTAAATTTACCATTTCTTTTTCTTTCTTTTTTTTTATTCGGACAAGCGCCCATGGGTAATCTCGGATCACTCATGCATCTCTCTCTCTCGGTGGAGTCTGCCGCCGGAACTCCCATTTAGCTGATCTCTTAGTTTTTAGTTAGCCACATGAATTATGTCTCTATACACACAAATTTTAGTAATTTATTCTTCGTTTAATATAAAAAATTTCAATATGGGTATATAAACCAATTGTCCGCGATCCAAATGGGTAGGATCCGACAAAACTAAAAAAAGAAGAAACAGTTTAAAAAAAAAACGCTGTTTAGCAAGGAACTATGATCACACATACACACCACCCCCCCTCTAAGAAATAAAACTGAAGAGGTGTATAGATAAAGTGAGCATAAGCAGAGTCAAATAAATTACAGCACGAATGTTACATAAAATATTAAGTATGAGATTTTTCACCGCATTTTCTTCTTTCACGGCGGGGAATTCTCAGACTTGTCTCGTTATCTTCCCTCGTGTCTGTGCTGCCAATCCGTTTTCAACTGACTCTCCAACTGCATAAATTCGAGCAGACACTTTCGCTTAGTCATATGTCTAACCACAATGGTTTAGTCTTCCTCTGTAATAACACAAACCTGTCCGTTTATCTGCTTCTGTTTCTTTACTTCTTCTGCTAAGCTCCAAATGCTGAACATCCAACCCAACGTCAAAAAAAAAAAAAAAAAAAGCTCCATGTATTATGTTAGTATCATGTTAGGGTCACGGTGGTTGGTTCACTTGTAGTTACCATTCAATCTCTCTCTTACCACTTCTCGTGTCTTCTCTGATATGTTCATGTTGCCAGTATCATCAGTTCTAAGCCAAACACTTGTATATAACTTTTGTTGGTTAAAGTTACTAACATTCACAAAGCTGGGTACATGCATACCTTTGTTGTAGTTGCATGAGCTGGGATTGAAGTTCTCTCTCTCTCGCTGTAGCAGGAGGTGTCTACATGAAGATAAAACATGGGTTTTCTTAGACTAAAAACCAAATGTATGGTTCTAAATTACACAATCATATTATTTCCTTTTACCTGCAAGAGTTCGTCAATGCTTGTCTCGGTTGGTTCAGATTGCTTTCCTGTGAAACGTGACAAAACGACAAGTCAGAATACTTCTGTTGGATTCTTCAGCAAAAGGAATGAACAGAGCAGTTGAAGATCGAGGGTTTAATACCAGATGTTTGCTCTACGTATTTGATCAGCCTCATAATTTCTTCCTGCGAAAAGGGGAGTAATTTTCAGTTTTCTACAATGAAGGTAATAACAATTGGAAGACGCTATATTTGAAGAAAGTGAAGAATATGAATTACAAAGTTTACCCGTTGAATAGCATTCTGCTGCAAAATGTACTGAAGTGATGGGAGGACAGAGGCCGCTGTAACATTGAGGGAGTTGGGGCTGGTTGAACCGACGCCACTGAATGGGCCGAATGTACAGTTTGTAGGCCCCTGGATGAAACCGACCCAAGAATAACATAAATAAAGCCATCATCTCTTTCATGCATTCCCGTCTCATTACCTACCATCTTATAAGGCAAACATTGCTGAAGTTTCAAAAGCTTAGGAGAACCATGGCCTTTGAAATGCCAGTAGAGCAGGAAAAGTAGAAGAGCTATTCAAATCTTGACTCAAACACCCCCAATGAGATGATATACTGAGGGGATTGTAAATTCGTTGCATGGCCCCAGTGCACCCAGAAAAGAATCATTACAAATTTAAAAGTTGCTTCTGCAGTTATGCTTTTTTATTTACGTTTTCAATTAGTGTTTTGGTTTTACAAATTTCGTTAAAATATATATAATTGTTTTACAAATTCAATTTCCCTAAGCTGGCTTCTTGATTACTACCAGAGAAGTTCACAACTATAGCTAAAAGTTCCGGTGGAAGTGTAGTTGAGCGCCTTAACTACTTAACTTGGAAAAAGCTTATTCGCAGAGAATGAAAATGTATAAGTTTTATGCAATCCAGGAATGGACACAGTTTATATACACTATGATACTTGTTCGGACCTTGGGACTGAGATCTGCTGATGTCACCTTAAACCGTCCCTTGCGCTGAACAACTGCACCTTCTGATGTATCATCCACTGCATAAAAACGGATGTTAGACAATGAGAACTGAAGACTCATAAGTCACCACCAAAATTAAAGCTACCGACCAGATGGAAGGCTGGTCTCTCTCCTCATTCGAGGATACAATGGTCCACTGTAGCTTCGCTCTGCTGGATGTTTAGACTGTTGAAAATCCCTACAGAAGCAGAGTGAAGTGGATTAGTTCATATGATCTCATTCAAGCTTCCAAGTGTTAAAACACTGTCGCACATATTTGGGCGATTGAGAATGCTTATAGAAGCGAGTCCAGTGTCTTTTGAGTTTAATATAAATTGTTCTTCACTTCTCAATCAAGCACAAGCCACAATGATGTCCAAAAGCTTCCAAGTCTAGATTATTCTTACATTAGTTAGAACCCTCGAAACTATCTGAGAAGACTGACCTCTCAGCATCATTGGTGTTTCGTTTTGGAGCAGAAGTACTCTCCGATATGAGTGAACCACTTAAATACTTTTTCTGTTCAAGAATGACCTGACGTGGTAAAGAAATGTTTTGTGTTGCTGTCTCCTCGTCTCTTGCAGTATGGGCCTGAGATCCAATGGACGGCTTTCGTAACAGTTGTGGTCCGGATTTCACTTTACTTGCATCTTTCCAATCAAGAGTAGTAGCATTATCATCATCCTCGCCAATGTCAAAGCAGCCTCTGCATCATGGAACAGACAAAATAAAATTACATGCTGATTTTGCAATTGACAGAAAACATAATTTTACAATCCTAAACAGATGGAACATTAATAGAACCTGTTCAAAATACATGAAACATTCACATGTTTACAGCTTAAATCCCAGATATGAAGGAGCCACCAATAATAAAGAGTAGCAAGAGTTAGAGAATGAGTTGTACTTGAGAGCTTGAAGAGGTTTGATTGGAAATGAAGCAAGAGAACTCTCCAAATCCTGAAGATCATTCAATTCGTCCTGGAAGAAAAAAAGAAAAAGAGGCATGTTAGTTCAAAACTTTCAAGAGGAATCTGAGTCATGCTTTCTTTATTTTCATGAAGACATATAAATTACACAAATAAAAGGAGACATTAGACTCGAGACATTGTCCCAAAATTACCTCCTGGCTAGGTGCTGTCGCAGAACTGCTAGTCCTTTCAGGGGAAAGGCCAGGTTCATCATGTCTTTCGCTTGATTTTCTGTTGACATCTGGCTCTTCAGTATGTGAAACATCATCATCATCATCTGGAATCTGCAAGGCGACAAAATCAATCCTCATTACGCGATTCACTATACAGGAAACTCATCAAGAAACTGTTAACTTACAAGGGCAGCCTGATTCTTTAAGTCCTCAAGATTAAAATTCCAAGCACTTATTCCCCTTATGTATTCTTGCTGCACAAAAAAAGGAACCCAATTATAAATGTAGGAGGATTTAAAAACAAAAACAAACTAGAGTCCCAGCACGAGCTTTCTTGCATTCTCCAGGCTCAAAGATTAGCAGCTAAATAACATTTTGCTGAGAGCTACACTATAGGAGGGTGGAATTTCTCTGATCCTTGCCTGTGATAGTTGCTCCTCGTATTCAGATTTGTTTTGGACTAGAAGATCAGCTTCCTTTGACTGAAAGAAAGAATTCACACATCAATCAAGCTTTTCCAGAAATTCTCTTCCAGGGAAGAGACAGCATAATCCACAGGACAGGCAAGAGACCTTTAGCTTCCTATAACGTTCACCTAATGGAGGAAGTCCATTAAGGATTGCACGAGCCAGATAATCAGGTGGACGTGCTTGCTTGAAAAAATGGTGCCTCAAAAGCTTTTCTGCAGGTGGACGCTTCTTCGGGTCTTTCACCAGGCATGCACCCACCAATTCCTTGAACGACTGGAAAGGACAAGCAAACATCTCTTTGAGAAGAATTGAAAATATAGAGGTGTATATTGCTAATGAAAATATGACCACACATACCTTTGTGAATCTCTTGTCTCTCTCGTAGTCAAGTCCAGGTGGTGCATTTTGTAAGGTCATTAGCAGGACCTGCAGATCCAGAGAGCAAAATATACAAACTGTGTACTAGAGAACAGTGAAGAATGAAGATATTTACAAATGGAAATATAACAGAAGATTTTTACTTTCATTGGCGGATATTTGGAAAATGGGGCGTGGCCGTGCGCCAGCTCAAGTGCTGTGATTCCAAATGACCATATATCTGCTCTGTACACAATCTAGTGTCTTAGGGAGGCAACCAGAGTAAATTATTGAGAACAAAATGCATAAAAGTCAAAGTTCAGAGTTAAGAGAAAATCAACTCACTTGAAGTCGTATCCATGCAATTGCTGCATCACTTCAGGAGCCATCCTTGTGAAGAAACAAACGTGAAATGGAATATGTCAAAATAAAATCCACAGAATCCCAGAACACGGAAATATTAAAGTAGGAAAAGGTACCAGCATGGAGTTCCAACAAATGTATTTCTAGAACGTTGTCTGTCCCCAGTATCAAACATCCAAGCAGAGACTCCAAAGTCAGCTAACTTAACGGTACCATTAGAATCAATCAAAATGTTTCCAGCCTGTAAGAGAAGCCACATATATCAATAACAATGGTGACACAGCACCATCCTTCAAAAAAGGATCCGCAATAAACGAAGAAGGACCAGAAGACAAAGAAGAAGAAAAATATTAGTTCCCATGAGAGCACTCAAATTTAACCCGATGGTAGTAGCTAGAAGATCGGTAAAAAGGGGAGCAGAGTAATGAAACATAAACCTTGACATCCCTATGGATATGCCCATGAGCATGAAGATACACAAGAGCTTTCAGAGTTTCACGGAGCAAAGTAGCGATAACAAATTCCTCGAATCCATCTGGATAATCAGACTTCATTATATGGAGACAGGATCCTCCAGCCATGTAAGGCATCACGACCCAAAGGTGGTGCCCAGTGGAAAAGGAGCAATGTGCTCGTAACAAATTAGGATGATCGATCAGATTCATCATCTGTACCTCTCGCCTGATCCCATCCTGCATGCGTATCAACATCCATTCAACATTAAATGTTCGATTTACCATGTCAACAGCAGCAGATGATGCATCACCTCTAACTTAAGTTCGTTACATTTTATAGAGGGAAAGGTTTACACAACATGAAACATATAACTCTGTTTTGACAGATTCGCCTGTGTTTGTCTACTTTCAAAGGTAACTGAACTAAAAATGGGATTCACGAGTGCTTTAAGGCGTAGAACGGAAACAGAGAAAATCAGAAAGAGCTGTAAACGCAGTCCTTGAGAGGTGACACCAGGACACTGGCGGGGAGAGAATCTTGGGAAAAAAAAAAGAGAAAAGCTGTTCTTTAAGGTACATATAAAATGTATTCTTCTATACCTACCAGATCGCTGTTGCACTTTTCCAGATCGAGAACCTTGATTGCAACTGTTTCCTTGAGAGGAATGCATAAAGCTCTATATACAGTTGCACTGACACCATCGCCGACTTCTTCGAATAACTTGTATTCTTTTGCATTGAGAGGAAATCGTTTATCCAAACCAGACTCCATTGTTATATTGTTCCTTAAATCATATGACACAAGCCTTCACTCTCATCGGTTTCAAAAAATCTACAAGAGAGTCTGACTGACAAGAGCGTCGATTTGCTACTGATCGGAGACTTCTTGAGTGAGGATTTCATGCACATCGAC